AAGTTTTTAGAGTAGTTCGAAACTGAATTTGACGAGGGATCTTAACAATTATGAGTTAATGAAGCAATAATTCCGGTGAATTCTAGTTTGCAAAACGGCAAGCTAAATCACCTGATGAGACAGCAGGAGCAAATGATGTATAAGCAGAAGAGTTACTCGATGTACCATCACCGCAGATTATTGGTGCACAACCAAAGCAATTGATGGTTGCTTTTGGATGTACTGCTTATTATTCAAAATATGTATTTTACTTTTCTCCTCAATCGTGATAGCGACAATATCCCATTTATATGCAATACATATCAGTGAATTGTGGACAAAAACTCAAGGAACAATGTCCAAAAAACAAGATTTCTAACCATTGTTAGTTACCACAATCACAAAAGGATCAGATTAGTTGAAATGTTACTTTGTTTTTCCTTTAGCTAATATCACATCAATCATGATCTAGCAAGTGAAATCCGATAACAACGTTAGTGCAAGATCTGTTTTTCCAATTTGAAGTCTGTCAGTCATAGTATTTAGATAATGAACAGAAAACTTTCAGATCTAAAAGCATATGTAACTCAAATTGAAAAAGCTTTTAGTACCTTTGAAAATCGGACTTAACAATGAAAGATTTTATAAAGGAACAATAACTACATCATTAATTTTAACAACCTTCTGAGAGGAGGAGCTCCCAAAAATTTTAAAGTAGAAATTGTAATTCCTTGCATTCCAACAAATTCTGTAATTTTTCAACCAATAAGTGTTTTAGAATCTTTGAGAGATTATAAAATAAATGGGCGCTAATGAATAAAGATTTGGGGAGCAGATCTCTGATTTTTGGAACCAAATTTTCTCATATCACCCATTATTTGTGAAAATTTTGTGCGACAGTGGAAATAATTTCATAAAATTTACATATTTGGAGGACGAAGGAAATTAGCAAAAACGTTCGTTTTTGTGATGATTGTCTAAGCTTTTATCAAAAATTAAGAATATTTTATGCATAAGCAAGATCTGAATGTATGCAAGCATTGATGACAAAGGCTAACGGGAAATATCAATGTTCTGGATGTGATAAAATTATCAAAACTAATGCCTAGAAAATACTTTCTGATTCCTTTTTGAATAGTCGTGATGCAAAAACAGTATTAATCTTCGATGCAAAAATGAGATCACAGAATGCAGAATTGAACCATATTTCTATGCGCAGTAAGGTAAAACAGGCAACTACTCACCAAGCAGTTGAAAAGGGATGCTCTCTCAATACTGACGTTCAAAGTCACTGTTTGAACGACATTTTACAAACATTCTTTTTGGATTGTTCGCGTCGTCGAAACTTAATTGAGAATTCTAAAATGTTGTAAAAAAAAAATTGTGCGATGCACAAATATTTTAACATTGGAATTGTAAAATCATAAACTCTTTTCATAATCGATTTCAAAGGAAGAGTGACATAATTAGGCTGGCGCATCATTCTTTTTTTTAAGAAGAACTATCTTCGAGAATTTCCCTACCGATGTTACTCGCCTTGCTTTTAGAATATTCGGCAGTATAAAATGTTGCATTATCTACTTACTTTCTCAAAGTTCTCGAGAAATAAAGTGTATATACCCATTTCAAATTTCTGATTGTGTCATTCAGCAGCGTAATCTAAGGCTGAAGACTTCACTTTTTCGATCAGCGAAATTGTTGATCGTTTTTGATGCAAAATTTAGTGGACAAAATTTTATTGCGAACTGACGATTACTTAGTGTACCAACAATTTAACTGATAACCTCTATATTTTTAATAATAAGTTGAATGTAAGCATTCATACCTCTCTTTTCATAAGTGTTTCGGACATACGCCCTGACTGCGATAGGCTTCCTGAATAAAGTGAGGATTTGAGCAACGATCCGATAGAGCCTTGTTCATTCCTAAATTAGGGATGATTTTGATACATTTCATACAATCTTAATTTATTCTTAAACCTTAAATTGCTGAAGGAGGATCGAACTAAACTCCAGTAATAGCAAAGCCGGAGTGAAACGTTAACAGTATGTCATTTTTCGACTGCAAATCCAACTGAGCAGCTTTCATCTAGCCAGTACTATTTGAAGACATTACAAAGACAAAGGTATACCGTGCCGTGCGAGCGATTTTAGTTACTTTGATGACATTCAGATAAGCAGATACCGTGAGATGTAAAAATCGGCAGAAATTTGTCACAAAAAGATCGAAATCCGGATTGAATTGAATTGAATTGATCAGCTCCGATTTTGAATCTGAATGTATTAAAATTCAACACATCTTTTCTCATGGAGATGATTGAAATGACAAATGATATTATCATTTGGAAGCAAAGCACCTATTTCTTACCATTCTGTTTATTCAGAAAGCACTGATGACGGAAAGATATCTTTATACAATATAATGATATTATACAAAGTAAAATATATGAGTTGTTTAGCAGGGGTCACTGGAAGAATAAGAGATACCTTGATGATAACTTAAACAAGTTTTATTGCTATTTTAATATTATTCTGCAACATTTATTACCTGATAAATTAAAATCACTTTTGCCAGTTATCAAATTGCCATTGATAAGTTCATCTAACTGATCTAAAATTTCATTTCCAAACGATGTCCAGGGACCAGTTTCAAATTCCATCTGCAATTTATGCTTTCATTTCAACCATAAGCAAATCTTTCCCTGTCGATTCGACTTGATGATTCACTGGACGCATAATATTAAATTGTATCAATAATATTATTTTCATCATCATTAACATACCACCTATCTATCTCAGACAACGAAACTTTTGCAGAATTCCATACAATGACTTACATTTCGCAATTTAACGGTAGCACGACCTTCTAAAATTACTATAAAACGAAATGCCGGTTTATTCATGCAATATATCGGCACTGTTTCACGTTGCTTTGCTGAATAACCTATTATTCGTGGTGAATGTGACATATCAATCTGGAAGATACAGAACGCAATAATATCTTTGTTTTGCTAATTGTTAATCACTTAGTTAGTATGCGAAATTTTTACCTGCCTGATATTACGCTTAAGCAAATAAGTCAAAGTTTGTCGATCGATGTACTCATCACTGAATACCACATGATGATTTTGCAGGAAATGTATTGTCATCTGTTCCATATGCACCGATAATTCTTTGCTATACTCTTCACTTTTTAAAATTTTAGTGAAACATGGTTCCTGAAATTGAATTATCAATCGATCACAGCCACTTTTTCAACATGGTCGATTGTGCTTTATATGTATATCAAGGAAACTACTGAAAAATAAAATTCACTACTCGCCTTAATACGTTTTCTTCTTGATCGATACATATTATCAGTAACCGAATCACTCTCATCAATGATTTCCGCTTGCAAAATTTCTTCCAAAATATCTTCTAGCGTTACAATACCAAGTAGATTCTTTGTCTGTCGACTTATTTTTCGATGATATATGCTGTGTGCACTTTCAACAACAGCTAAATGGTAGTTACCCTAAAAATTTTAAAAATGGCATTAATTCTAATTTAAACCACCGCACTTTTAACAAATTTGCTTGCTTTTTTTCAATTTGCATTTTTTTTTAAACAAATTTGCAAAGCAAACAAATTTGTTAAAATTTGTTTGCTTTGCAAATAAAGCATAAATAAGATAAGTCTCAAATTACGATAAACTTGCTGCTTTGAATTCATCAAGCATGGAATGCAACGGCTTGCTTGCTTCAACAAATCTCAATGGATACTGATGAAATTCGCAAACTGTTTTGACAGTGAAATTATCACGTGGATCGATTAGAGCCAAATCCTTTACCATAAGGAGAGCTTTGATATTATTCCGATCGTCATCCTAAGCTTATTCAAAATAATTTGAATTGTACCATTGTTAGTGATAGAGAATTTACTGATGCGCGCCATTAGAAATTCATACTAGTAAGAAATTATTCAAATTGTATGAGGGTAAATGCGAATGAACGAAAATTAGTTGAACGAAATAAATAAAATATATTAAAAAAAGAATAACACACTAGATAAAGTGAATAGTTGAGTGGCGCATTTTCAGTTTATCTATTTACTTACTACCCCCATCTAAGACAATAAATAAAAAATGACAAAATTATGTAACGAAGTATGGATGTAATGATAAAGGTATAAAGGTGAATTATATGAAATGTAATATTAAGATAGTTAGGATTTCAAAAGGAAAGGGTTTTAAATTAAAAACAATACATATGAATAAAATATTCGTTCTTGGACATCGTGACAAACAAATTTTCTTCCATGAATCGTTAAAATATCTTAACTAACTGCATAAATTGGTATTCTGGAATAGCCACGTCTTATTATTTCGACAATTGTTGCTACGTCGATAACCGCATCTTCAGATAACATGAATACGTCCTGTTAAATGCTTTAATAAGATTTGTATTATTATTTTTTTAAATGATTTCCTGAGAGGATTTCAAGAATTGTCCATGAATGTGAAAAGGAAAGGTCTGGACTAAAGTTAAGAAATCTACACCAAGATAAGTTTAAATCAAAATTATGAAATTTACCGAAGTATAAGTCTAGATCAACCTTGTATTTTATACAACAGTCAAAATTATGAAATTTACCGAAGTATAAGTCTAGATCAACCTTGTATTTTATACAACAGCTGGAAAATGTTAAAGGATAGGTACTTTGGCTGTAATAATCGAAATAAATATTTATATGAAACACCTCAATTTTAGTAAGCACATCACCCACTGTTTTTTCGCTTATCTCCATAGCACCAACAGCTATTTTCAAATCAGCTGCTAACTCTTGATTCTCTTCGCATGCAGTCATTTTCATTAAATTTATCAATCTTAACATCATATCAATGACTTCATTTCATTTAATGATAACATTATAATAATTCATTTCAAGATAACAACCAAAAAATCTTCTTAAATCCAGTGATAAGAAAAAATACATTATTTCCTGCATACTGTTAGCAGCGATAAAACTGTAAACTGCAAGGTATTTCACGTGTAACAAAATTCTAAATAAGCAATTGATTAAAAGCAGATATTAGCTTAAGCTTAAAATATTAAGCCACAAGCATTCTCTCAACAAGTTAACTTAACACATTGAAAATATTACTTACTTGCACCGATCATACACCAGGGTATCTTCACCAAGAAAAACATCCAGAATTTTGCTGATCGGATATGAGAAAGGAAATGTAAGAATCATAAATGTTCGCGTCAACCAAATCGTATACGCACCAACTGCTAGACCTTTCCTGATCATTTTATTTCATATTTTATGCTAATGTTTTGACAGAAAATTTACATAAAGTAATTTTAAGAATTTCTACATCTTTTACTACGTTTGGTTTCTCAATTCTCTGGAAATCCTCTGATAATATTAGGTATTATAATTTACAAACAATTTTTGATTTGTTTTTTCTAATCAAAGTTTATAACTAGAATGCTTATCAATGGCTGTTAGAAAGAAATTTTTTTAAAGGAACACTTCTAAATATTCTATTGTTCTCTTTAATTATTTTTATCAATTTTCGCCTCAATATTATTGCCTATATATTTGAACAATTATCTGTGATTATGGATTATGTTACGAACGATATAAATTTTGCATAAAATCTTTTCTATGCATGATACTAAATGAGATTGTATTCGAGTAATGGACCTGTAAAAACAACACTTGTATGCATAAATCTATGTCAATAATTTAAAAAATTCACATCGACAGTTTTAATCTCTCTCATTTGTCTCATTGCTCGATCATGGATCTATCGTTCACTACTCCATCAAAGTTATAACAGACTCACTAAATAAATATTCACTGCCATGAACTACTTTAATTACTCTGAAAGCTCATTTACTTCATCAGTTACTACTAAGTAATCACTATTATCCGAGATTATTTCCTCAACTTCTCTCAAATCACAACAGTTTTTGCTAGATTCTTAATCGCTGCAAAAATTAGTTAAATTACAAATTTGTGAACAGTCACTGTTTTCATCATTTATGCAATCCAGTAGTTTCAAAGAAGTAATAAGTGAATGAGTTTCAAAAAATATTTTTTATAATTCCATATTTGTAATAAAAGATTTATTTTAGAAGTTGTGTGAGATTTCTCCGTCTCGTGATCCATTCTGGGTAATAATTGATGAAACAGCAACTTAGGACATCTTAATTTTCTTTATGTCTTAAAGAGAGGATGAAGCTGATGGAATATTGCTGTTCCAAATGTCAGCAGCTAAAATGTCGTTTATACTTTATTTTCATTTCATTCATCTAAATTCTTCAAGAGATTTAACTTTTGCCAACTTGTCAAATCGTACTAGCCAAATGAACTATGAAAAGTACCTTTTTGACAAAGAGTTAAATACCTTGAAAATAAAATAAATTATACATCTAATATATATATATATATATATAAACTAACTTGACGCAGATACTCTGTGGGACAATTTCGCCGATGATAACAATTCCAAGGGATGAAATAATAAATGCAATCATTCCGCTGGTCATATCCTCGAACAGTATTGAAATAGCTGCATTGACCACTACATTCATGATTAATATTGTACATAACAGATAATTACCTGATTGTCGTACCGGAAGTATTGTTTCTGCATATTTCCGTTCCATTTTTGAGCCTAAATTCGAAAGTTTCGAAATATTTTTCTCTGTTCCGGTCAGTTAATTATGCAATAGTACAATTATAACGTTTCTTATATAAGGTACTCAGAGAATTAGCAAGTTATTTGAAGAATATCCTCTGCTTAGTCAAGATATCTAAGAAAAGAGTAATCATATTTTTCTCAAAAATCTATAACTGAAACCTTCCCGTAATTAAACTACCTTAAGGAACGATATTAAATTCAGTTTAATTCGATAATTCATAGCGTCAGTTTTTGAGTATGCACAGAAAATAATCAGAGATTAAGAAATCAAATTACTAATACTTTCCTTGGCAATAAGCACTAAAATTTGATATACAATTTTTTATTTTAAAAACAGACAGTTATTACTGTTACATGGAGAATAGCTTTTTCCATGGTTTATATCAAAATAGAGGCACTTATTAATACCTTAATCGATATCGCTTTGTTAAATTGTCTAAACAAAAGTGAATTAAAAATTACCACATTTTTGTATAAGCATCAATTCCTGAGGTGAAAGAGCCATAAGGCCCAAATTAAGGCCTGAAAATAAAGCAGACAGACAAAAGAGCATGAAAATGATACTGATCTGCAGGTACACAGGTAAATAATATATGCGAGTTGGTGTTTCCGTAACTATTGAATTGCGTGATTCATCCATCTAAATTGTTGGTAATTTTTAAAATGATGAACAAATTTATCAAACACTGAATGAGCAGTACGTGAACTATTTAAATGAAAATCGCTTCTTGCTGCCATTAAATTAATTTGATAATTGTATGAACTTATAAAAGAGCATCTTAACTTCTTCTACAAGCTGTAGGATAGTTATGTTATCCGTTCCAAATATTGATAGTGAAGTAACAATATAAAAAAATGAGTCAGATTTAAAATACCCTACCATAATCATATCTTCTTCCTCTTCACTTGATTCCTTCCTATTCATTCGTTCCTTATAGCAAATGTGATACGGTTCATCTGACCTCAAATTTAAAATTCAATTCATTATTTTTAATCGTCTTGAATATTTAGGGAAAATTTTATACCATAATAAATTGTTATTAATCTGAAAATATGTTCAGAACTGCTCAGAAGTAGAAGAAAATTGATTGAACATACTCAGCGAAATATGCAACAAAATCGAGTCGTTTGACGGTTTGAATGAGAAATTCAGGACGAGAAATGTTTACCACTGAATTAAAGCAATTGTCTGTTGTAAGTGATATGATACCGATTTTATCAAGATGATAACCGAACATTACAATACGTGCTCGTGAATCTGGATAAATTATTGTAGCACCTGATTCACTGAAATGATAAAAATCGATATCGCAATGAGGTAGTTATATTTTATTTCCTAGCTGTTCATTTTCTCATATTAAAATGTTACTTCAAAACAAGGCTTTGCCCGATTCAAAATTCTCTCTAAGATAGCCAATCCATATGAGAATATTACTGAAACTTACGAATAGCTTATTAAACCACTTTTGCTTGGCATGCTGACAACTCGTATACCCGAAACGTAAGGCCTTACTTCGTATGTTACAAATTTAATTTCAATTTCCTGAAATAAAACGACTGTTAAAATTAGAAAAAAGTAAAAAATAAAATAAAAAGGAATCAAATGAAAAAAAGAGAAGCTATCGATTAATTGAATTAATTATTATACTCTGTATAAATGGAAGGCTAAATCAACACCTACTCAAATACGATATAATTCTTACTAATAAGAAAAAATGACCTGATGCTTAGGAGAATTGATGTTTAACCCTTTTGTATCAAACATGAAGGAAGCGACTGGAACAATGGTGAATGCTATCATCATGACAGCCATTTTCTAGGACCCTCTAAATAATGATCGCCAATGGCAAAAAGCAAATGATTATACTGGCAAAACGAAATCATTTTATTAAATCACTAACCTAATCTGAATCCCTAATTAGTTATTCAATGAATGTGAGCGGTAGGAAGAAGCAATAGGTTTTCAAGGATAATTGATTAAAATTATTATTTCTTGAAAATGATTAACACAACAAATTTCGTAGAAAAACATATATCCATGAATTCACAAACATTTGTGATAAAAACAAGAGAAATGGCTATAAATTACAGCCATTTTTGTTGTTTTTATCACAAATGTTTCAAATTGTATGATTGAATTTATGACTGAAAAGACATTTCGAAATCTTATCATACAGAACACCGGTTGTAGATCGCTCCAAGATCAAACCGGAACAATAGTCGGATCAATGATATAGATTAAGAATAGTATATTACTCCTGATTTGTAAGTTTCTTACAAATACAAAAATTCATCTCTAGAAGTTTGGCGTTCTAAACGATTTTAAATGATGGGAAGTGTGCATTAAGTCGCATCATTCTTTGATTGTGATCAATTCATTAAAATGAAATAAAACGATTAGTTTATTAACAAAAACTGATTTGTCCAAAGTTTAAACAAACTGAATAAATTATTGATGAAATGCAAGGAAAAAAAGAAAAGAAACTATAAAATATCATAATTATAAAGTAATGTGAAAATAAGAGAATCGAAATCGTTTGGCTGATAAATCGATTTTACTGACGATAAAATGAAACAAAAGAGGTGCAATTAAGGATGTTAACTTTTCGTGGTACCATTTTAAATATTTTCCAAAGAATCTTGCTCTTAGATTTAATAATGCCATCGAAAAAAAGTACTGGATTGTGGTATTTTGCAGAATAACTTTCAGGTTTAATTAAATACTAACCGTTAATGCCATAATTAATAGGCATGAAATCATAAAAATCTGAACCATTTTCTTGTTTGCATCTCTGTTTGAATCTCATGATGAAACTGTTTTGTTATTTTCCGTATTGAACATTCTCGATTTAAATATTAGGTTATGAATTTACAGGCGGTGAAAATATTCATTTATTTTCTTTTCCGCAAAAAAGATTCACAATGAGTAAGGCTTTCTTGAAATTCTACTAATTTTGGTGACATTTTGAAAATGACTTGAATTTAAACGCATTACTTTTGGCAATTATCAAATTTACCAATGAAAAACAAATATTTTGCAGTAAAACTATCACGATATCTATCGTAGTTATGCTAACGAATAAGCATATCGATTGATTTCTAGACTGAAGAAGTAGAACATGGTTTTATTTTACTCTGAATCAAATTTTCTTATTAGTAATGCAAAAATACGAAAATTTAGAGTTCATAAAAATTGGAATACGCTGTAATTTTTCGAAGAAATATTCACAATTTTTTAAAAATGAAAAGAAACACAAATATTTGTAATGAAAGCAAAAAGCAAATGCACCGCCCACCTTCCAGCGCTTTCTGTCATCGATGTTGTCATTCCGTCGAGTTGTTGGTATGCAACGGTTGTTGTCATTTTCTTCCTTATCGACAAAAAGACGACGTTATGCACATCATATCGATATAAATTGCAAACTGATCAACTATTTTATTTTCCATCCAAAAAAGAACCAGTTTTGAGGCGCAACAATAAATGAATGTGAAAAATGATTAATAAAAAGCTTTTCAGGCAAAAGTAATATTTTCAATCATTCAAAATTTTACATGAATTTTCATGAATCTTCTAAATTCAAATGTTTGAGGAAGTGAAGAAAGCGTCCTCATTCAACATAAATGATATCTCAAAGGATTTAATTGTTGATAATATCCAATTCTGTTTGATAAATTTCGAATAATTGTTGATGATATCCAATTCTATTTGATAAATTTCAATGATATCCAATTCCACTTGATAAATCTTCGATAAATTTCGAATTTTCGAAATCTAGTGAGAATTACGTTGCTAGCTATTGCGTCAGCAAAATTTTAGATTTCTAATCGAGTGATAACTATCAATCTGTTTGGCAGTAAGAAAAGCAGTGTTATTTAATGTAAACATATTTGCGCATTTGCCTTCGATGATTAGTCCAAACCAAATAATAAATAGACTATGAAAAAAAGAAGTCTTAACTGGTGGTTCTTTGCGAAAACTTTGAAAAATTACATCATCACAGGGAAATATATTTCAATTTGAATAGATATAAGAATAAGAAAAGTGATGTCGACGCGTAACGCCAAGCCATGTGCACATTTAAGTTCCAAACGATACCATGAAATAACCGGTTAACCTTACGTCAAAGACTTTCGATTTGAGTAAATTTTAATCTTCATTTTACTACAGCTTATAATTATTACTGCTCATAATAATTGTCATTATTTTTTGTGCGGTTAATAGTAATGATAATGATAATAATCAATGCAGTAATTTTATCGTTTTAATAACAATCGTTGCTGTTGCTTCTATGATTATTACTTATAACAATATCCTTAGTTAAAATTAACGTTATATGAGCAAAATTTTTCTCTTATCAGTTAATTAATGCTGAATAATCCGTTTTTTCTTTAATTTCGAAATACATACTAATTGTTGGGTCGGCGATACAAATTTATTTGGGAGGAAATATTGTTCTTGCACAATATTACTAGTTAATAACAAGAAAAAAGGGTATAAAAATATATATGTATATTACACGATGAGTTGGTAAGCAATGATGAGTTATGTAAAAGCAAGTAATATGATCAACTAACAAACTCCTTGTCGTTGCCTTGGACAGTAATTTGACTGTCGATTAGTTGATAGGTCGTTGAGTTAGGAATACGTTACGGGAAATGTATTTAGTGAATAGAAGAATATCGTAGTTTGTTGTGCAATGGTGGCGGATATGCGAAGATATGGTTAGTTGTGGGTTAGCCGCGAAGGATAAGCGACGAGGAGTATCGTCTGCTCGGTTGTAGGAATTGAACTCTCCAGGATTTTTTTCACATATATATATATATATATATATATATATATATATATATATATAGTAG